CCCGAGCTCCCTGCAAGGTCGTGCCCGCCCCCAGCTCCACCCTGAGCTCCCTGCAAGGTCCTGCCAGCTCACAGCTCCACCCTGAGCTCCCTGCAAGGTCCTGCCAGCTCACAGCTCCAGACTGAGCTCCCTGCAAGGTCCTGCGAGATCCTGCCAGCTCACAGCTCCACCCTGAGCTCCCTGCAAGGTCCTGCAAGCTCAGAGCTCCACCCTGAGCTCCCTGCAAGGTCCTGCCAGCTCACAGCTCCACCCTGAGCTCCCTGCAAGGTCCTGCAAGGTCCTGCCAGCTCACAGCTCCACCCTGAGCTCCCTGCAAGGTCCTGCACACTCACAGCTCCACGCTGAGCTCCCTGCAAGGTCCTGCCAGCTCACAGCTCCACCCTGAGCTCCCTGCCCCGGGGGCAGCTCCAGCCCTTTGGGATTGGGAATCTCCCGGTGGCAGGGCAGGGGAGGGAGGGCTGGGCTGGCACATCCCTGCCCCAGGGCAGCCCAGACCCCTCTCCACCCTGAGCTCCCTGCAAGGTCCTGCACACTCACAGCTCCACGCTGAGCTCCCTGCAAGGTCCTGCCAGCTCACAGCTCCACCCTGAGCTCCCTGCCCCGGGGGCAGCTCCAGCCCTTTGGGATTGGGAATCTCCCGGTGGCAGGGCAGGGCAGGGAGGGCTGGGCTGGCACATCCTCACCTCTGCCAGCTTTCTGTGAATTTTTACCTCCTTTCCTCATTATTTTGTTAGGAAACATCCACTTGTTAGGGAAATTCATCCACAAAGATCAGAGATGTATGTCCAAAGAAGAGACAGAGGAGTGCTTTGACTTTATTCCAATAAAGGAAGAGGCCGTGGGGCATTCCCGGGGGTCTCTGCAATTTTTGGAGGATGCAGCCTCCTTTTTATCCCAATTTCCCTCTCTCTTTCCCCATTTCTGAGGTACTTGAGAGGTTCAGACTTCCCAAAACACCTGATACCAGAGATTTCCCTCTAATGTACAACCCTCCCTTTTAGTTTTTAATTCTTATGGAATTTAGGGTTTTTCCCCGTTGTTTCTTTCATCTTTCAATGTCCAGTTTCATTTATCATCAAACCTAAAGTTTATTTGTAAAAGCAAGTATCTTTTTCCATTCATCAATCCGTGGAATCCTTCCCACTGTTTATTTCTCAGTGCTGATTTTATCTACCAGCAGACCCACAGCTTGTTTGGAAAGACAAATCCCCCATTCCTCTCACACTGGAGTGTCCGGGTTGTGGATTTATCTCTGATTTTACATCAAATATGACAAAGAGTTTGTCTCTGATCCACTGGAGTCAGAGCTGCTGGCTTGCAGGCTGCACCTTCTACCCAGCTTTGGTTTTGTTTCACCTGTGGGAACAGCACAAATTCACCCAAAATTACATTTCCAGGGCGTTACTCAGGCTCCGTCCAGTCAGACCTTAAATGTCCTTTGCTTTCCTTGATTGCAATTCGCTCGGCAAACGAGGAAGTTTAAAAGATTCGGTCCGGTTGAATTAATCCACATTATTCTCATACCTGTGGTTAACTCAGGGGACGTTTCCTGATTGCTGCTGTAAAAACAGATGGAGGGAGAGGGACGGGGAGTACTGTGTGCCCAAAAGCCCTGGCGCCGTTTCAGCCCCTCTCAACCCCCCTGGCACGGGGGGAGGTGAGGGCTGGGCAGCCCCCAGCTCCGTGCCCGTGGCACAAACCCATGGCATTGCCAGGTCACTTGCCTGCCACCTCTCATCCGTCAGCCGAGCAAAGCGCAGCCAGGTCCCAGCCCTGCTCAGCGCCCCGTGAAAATCAGCCCTGCCTCCCTCCGTGCCGCTCCTCAGCCGGGAGATCATCCCCGGAGCCCGGATTGTCGCCTGAGCCCCGGGGACAGGGCAGGGACAGGGCAGGGACAGGGCAGGGACAGGGCAGGGCTCGGCCTGGCGCGCTCCCGGGGGACTTTCACTGCTCCCCTCGCTCCGGGGAACGTCTGCAGGGATTTTTGGGGATTTTTGGGGTTTTTGGAGCATGGCTGCAAAGCTGGGAAAAGGGAGGGATGGGCTGCTCCGTCCTGCTTGACCCTTTTCTCCCCCAGTGCTCCATCCTGGCTCCCAGCACGCCCAGTTTGGTGCTGCCTCCTCGGGAGCAGCCCCTGGCATCATCCTGTTAAAAACGGGACAGGACTCTTGGTACTAAAGCGATTTCAGCATTTCCTGACGCCGCAGGAATCCAGAGCAGAACGCAGAATTCCCTGTGGACATAGAGAAGGAAGAAGAGATTCCCACATCCCCGGAGCATCCCTGCCCTGCCCTCCCTCCTCGGCGCTCCTGCCACCCCTCCCGCAGCTCACTCTGCTTTCCTTTCGTCCCCAGACCTGGCTCAGGGACACCTGCAGCTGGCACAGCTGGGCAGGGAGGTGGCAGCTGACGGCAGCCCGGTGTCCCCGCCCGAGGGACAGGGCCGGTCGCCGGTGGCCGCCGTGCGCTACCGCAACCACGGCCAGCGCCGCTGCTCCATGGAGGCAAGTGCCGGGGGACCTGGGGACAGCGGGGTGTCACCTCCCCGCTGGCTGGCTGCGGTTTGGGACGTGGCAGTGTCACACACGGGCCCTGACATGCTGTGACTCCCGCGGGGCGCTGGCCGTGTGCCACCACCCCCTTCCCTTGAGTGGCACTGTGGTGGTTGTGAGGGTTCCAGGACGAGGGAAGAGATGAATCTCAGTGCATATTCTTAGAAGGCTGATATTATATGATATTATATGATACTATATTATATTAATTATATTATATTCTATTACATTATATCATAGTATATTATATCATATTACATTACATTACATTCTATGAAATTATATGAAATTATATGAAATTATATTCTATGAAATTATATGAAATTATATTATATCATATGACATTACATTATATTATATGACTTCACATTATATTAGATGAAATTATATACTAGAACTATACTAAACTATAGAGAAAAGATACATCAGAAGGCTAGAAAAAAATGAATAATAAAAACCCGTGGCTGACCAGCGAGTCCAACACGGCTGGCTTTGATTGGTCATTAAGTAAAAACAATTCACGTGGAACCAAACGCGCACCTGCCACATTCCAAAGCAGCAAAACAGGAGAAGCAAATCGGACAATTATTATTTACATTTTTCTCTGAGGCTTCTCAGCTTCCCAGGAGAAGAATCCTGGGCAAAGAGGATTTTTCCATGTTGGTGTTACCAGTATTGGGGACAGGGCGTGCCTTGGCTTGTCTGTCCCCTGCTGCTGAACCAAACAGTGGCAGCCGTGGTGTTTCACCCCAGAGACACTTTGGCTAGCTGTGGGTCACAGCTGGAAGTGTGGAGACAAGCCCAGGCGTGCCAGAGCTCCGGGATGGAGCTTCCTCTGGTCCAGGGTCGCTCCTCAGGCTCCCTGTGCCGGGGAAGCTTTAGGGCGATGGTGGAGGAAGGACTCGGTTCTGATGGAGGGTTTCAATCCAGAGTTTTTATTTTGGGCCACAGGCATCTGAATCCAGCAACTCCTCCCAACAGAACTGCCCGGGCACGTGGTGTCCTTGCCCTTTTACCTGGGGGAGAGGGAAGGGATAGGGAGCCACCAGCCAGGTGGGAGAGGAGGGCTCGGGGACAAAGGACACCTGGATCCCCTGGGGGGCATCTTTGGAATCTGCCCAATTCCCTTCTGGAATTCCAGGATTGACAGACAGTGTTTGGCAGGGGTCAGGGTGGGGAGAGGAGAGGTGATTGACACACCTGGGAGGGAAACTTCAGAGGAGAAACCCGGGGTTCTGGGGTAAACCATGAAATCACACTGCAACATTCCCAGAAATATCATGCCGACATGGCACTGCCTGCTCTCTTCCCCCCGAAAGTCCTCGTGTCAGCGCCCTGTGCTCTGTCCCCTCCCTGCAGGATGTCAGCAAGCGCCTCTCGCTGCCCATGGACATCCGGCTGCCCCCCGAGTTCCTGCAGAAGCTGCAGATGGAGAGCCTGGAGCTGCCCAAGCCCCTGAGCAGGATGTCCCGCCGGGCCTCCCTCGTAAGTGGCACCGAGCAGAGGGGGCAGTGCCAGGCACGGCATCCCCCGTGTGTCCCGCTGTGCCAGCTCCTCCAGGTGCCACTGAGGTCCCCTCGTGTCCCTGCCCCTTCCCAGCCCTCCCTGCACAGCCCCAGCAGCGCCGGGAGCAGCTGAGGGAGCTGGGAAGGGTTTGGAAAATCCTGAGGGAGCTGGGAAGGGTTTGGAGAATCCTGAGGGAGCTGGGAAGGGTTTGGACAGTCCTGAGGGAGCTGGGAAGGGTTTGGAGAGTCCTGAGGGAGCTGGGAAGGGTTTGGACAGTTCTGAGGGAGCTGGGAAGGGTTTGGAGAATCCTGAGGGAGCTGGGAAGGGTTTGGAGAGTCCTGAGGGAGCTGGGAAGGGGCTCAGCCTGGAGCAAAGGAGGCTCAGGGGGAATTTGTGGCTCTGCACAACTCCCTGCCAGGAGGCGACAGCCGGGGGGGATTTGGGATCTCATCCCAGGGAACAGGGACAGGAGGAGAGGGAACGGCCTCAGGCTGGGCTGGGGAGGCTCGGGTTGGACATCAGCAGGAATTCCTCATGGAAAGGGCTGGAAGGGGCTGCCCAGGGGGGTTTGGAGTGCCCATCCCTGGAGGTGGCACTGAGTGTTCAGGGTGGGGGTCGGGCAGAGCTGGGACTCGATGGTCCCACCGGGATTTTCCAGCCTCAGTGATCCCACGGTTCTGAGATCTGCATCCCTTCCCGTGCACCTGCTGGGCCATTCCCACCTTCTCCCTCCCCTGTGCACACCTGGCTGCCCTCTCAGCCTGGCTCCTTCCCAAAGCAGGAGAGGGAAACCCTCCTGCAGCTCAGCCGAAATGCAAATGTGGATAAATAATGAATCAGCCTTGGCTCCAGTGGTGGCATTTCCCTTCCTTTGCTGCAGCAGCAGAAATAGGAGTAAAAACTCTGTGTACAACAAAACAGGAGAAAAATCTCCGTGTGCAGACACCAGGTGTGCCCAGAGGTGCCCAGGTATCTCAGCCAGGCCCCAGGAGGCATTTTGGGACCCAAGGTGCCCTTTCAGGAGGAGGGAAGGGGGAAGGAGAGCTGGAATTTACCTGCCTGTGCTGTCTGATCAATAAAACAAAGCCAGGGCGATGTGTCATTAATATTCATGAGCCCCTCATGAATAAGGAATGTGGCTCTGAGGGTTGTGCAGCAACTAGGGTTCCAGCACCTTCACTCCCCTGCTCAGGACAGCTTTTCTCGGGATACACAGAGGGTTTGGGCAGTAAATAGAGTAAAAATCCTAATTGTCACTGCCCAGTGTCCCTGGAAACCCTTCTGGAGGTGAAGCCATCCCTGGGTGAGGCTCCCTCCTCCCCAGTGATGTTTTCCTTTCTCTCTCACAGTCAGATATTGGCTTTGGGAAGCTGGAAACCTACATTAAACTGGACAAACTGGGAGAGGTGAGTAGTCTGTGACACCCCTGTAAGGAATTCAATGAAACTCAAAGGGCAGCTCGAAGCACAAAGGGCAAAAATCTTCAATATCCAGAAATTTTCAGAGCGAGTCTTTCTCGTGGAGCTCAGCCCTGCTGCTGTCACCTCAAATGGTCCTTCCTCCAAATGTTTTGGGGACACCAGTGCTGTGCCACCCTGGGAAATGTCCCCTGTCCCCTGTCCCCCGCCAGGGCACCTACGCCACGGTGTTCAAGGGCCGCAGCAAGCTGACGGAGAACCTGGTGGCGCTGAAGGAAATCCGCCTGGAGCACGAGGAGGGCGCTCCGTGCACGGCCATCCGGGAAGGTGAGGCCGGGAGGGGCCTCCCCCAGGCTCCCAGGAGGGTTTGGGGTGGCTGTGCCCGTGCCCAGCCCCGGGTCCTGCTGCCCCAACGCCGCTGTCCCCGCAGTGTCGCTGCTGAAGAACCTCAAGCACGCCAACATCGTCACCCTGCACGACATCATCCACACCGAGCGCTGCCTCACCCTCGTCTTCGAGTACCTGGTGGGTCTGGGGGCTCCTCTGGGGGCTGGGGGGACGAGGGAAGGACAGACTGACGTGTCCTTCCCGCTGCAGGACAACGACCTCAAGCAGTACCTGGAGAACTGCGGGAACCTGATGAGTGTGCACAACGTGAAGGTGAGGGGCGTGGAGGGACCCCTCCCCTGTCCCTCGTCCTGGGGGGGGGAGTTGTGGGGCTGGGGGAGGCTGGAGGTTCCTTCACCCTTCAGTTCTTGCTCCCTTTGCCCTTCCTGAGGCTCCCCCAGCGTTTCCACCCCAAATAAAATCACTGCACGTGCACACTTCGCTCGTCCCATTCCGTGACACTTCCCACAGCACGGCTCCGAGGGGTCTTTCCTGCCCACAACATCCAGATTCCTCAAGGCAGGATGAGTTTTAGTCCTAAATGCACCTTCCTCTTAAATCCTCCTCCTCCTCCCTGCAGATCTTCATGTTCCAGCTGCTCCGTGGCCTGGCTTATTGCCACGGCAGGAAAATCCTACACCGAGACCTCAAACCCCAGAACCTGCTCATCAACGAGCGAGGGGAGCTCAAGCTGGCTGATTTTGGTAGGTGAAGCCCTCCAGGGGAGATGCAGGATTGGGAAAAAAGGGGCAGCTCCTTGATGTGTGTCCCTCCTGACCTCAGGATTAGCCAGGGCCAAGTCTGTCCCCACAAAAACCTACTCCAACGAGGTGGTGACGCTCTGGTACCGGCCCCCCGACGTCCTGCTGGGATCCACCGAGTACTCCACGCCCATCGACATGTGGTGAGGCACCGAGCTCCCCGCGAGCTCCCCGGGCTCTCCAGGAGGGGTCGGGCATTTCCATCCTCATCCTCACCGTGCTGGGTACCACGGAGCCTGGGGGGCTCTCCCAGGGCTGTTTTCCCCACCCCCAGAGCTCTCCCAGAACAGTTTTCCCTGTCCCCTGAGGCTTTTTACACCAGAGGGTTTGGGGCTCTCCCAGGGCAGATTTCCCTGTCCCCGGGGCTCTCCCAGTGCAGATTTCCCTGTCCCCAGAGCTCTCCCAGAACAGTTTTCCCTGTCCCCTGAGGCTTTTTACACCAGAGGGTTTGGGGCTTTCCCAGTGCAGATTTCCCTGTTCTTGGCGCTCCTCAAAGCAGTTTTCTGTGGGGCTGTTAAGACCAGAGTTTGGGGGCTCTTCCAGAGCTGTTCTTGTCCCCTGATGCTTTTTACACCAGAGGGTTTGGGGGTCTCCCAGTGCAGATTTCCCTGTCCCCAGGCCTCTCCCAGTGCAGATTTCCCTGTCCCCGTGTCCCCAGGCTCTCCCAGAGCAGATTTCCCTGTCCCCGTGTCCCCAGAGCTCTCCCAGAGCAGATTTCCCTGTCCCCATGTCCCTGGGCTCTCCCAGAGCTGTTTTCCCTGTCCCCATGTCCCCCAGCTCTCCCAGTGCAGATTTCCCTGTCCCCATGTCCCTGGGCTCTCCCAGTGCAGATTTCCCTGTCCCCATGTCCCCAGGCTCTCCCAGAGCTGTTTTCCCTGTCCCCGTGTCTCCAGGGCTCTCCCAGAGCAGATTTCCCTGTCCCCATGTCCCTGGGCTCTCCCAGAGCTGTTTTCCCTGTCCCCATGTCCCCCAGCTCTCCCAGTGCAGATTTCCCTGTCCCCATGTCCCTGGGCTCTCCCAGAGCAGACTTCCCTGTCCCCGTGTCCCCAGGGCTCTCCCAGAGCTGTTTTCCCTGTCCCCGTGTCCCCAGGGCTCTCCCAGTGCAGATTTCCCTGTCCCCGTGTCCCCAGGGCTCTCCCAGAGCTGTTTTCCCTGTCCCCATGTCCCCCGGCTCTCCCAGAGCAGATTTCCCCGTCCCCAGAGCTCTCCCAGAGCTGTTTTCCCTGTCCCCAGAGCTCTCCCAGTGCAGATTTCCCTGTACCCATGTCCCTGGGCTTTCCCAGAGCTGTTTTCCCCTTCCCCTGGTACTCGGGGTCCGGTCCGTGCCATCCCCACCCCGGTGGGAGCGGATCCACTCCAGGAGCCGATCCCGCTCCACCGGCGCCACCCGCGGGTTTGTCCCCCCTGACCCCGGGGTGTCCCCGGCGCTTCAGGGGGGTCGGCTGCATCCACTACGAGATGGTGACGGGCCGGCCGATGTTCCCCGGCTCCACGGTGAAGGAAGAGCTGCACCTCATCTTCCGCCTGCTGGGTGAGCGCCGTGCGCTGAGCCCGCGTCCCCGCGCGAGGGCACTGCCTGCCCGCGGCACCGGGAACCGCACCGGGAACCGCACCGGCACTGCCTGCCCGCGGCTCCGGGAACGGCACCGGCACTGCCTGCCCGCGGCACCGGGAACCGCACCGGGAACGGCACCGGCACTGCCTGCCCGCGGCACCGGGAACCGCACCGGGAACGGCACCGGCACTGCCTGTGGGATGGGATGGGATGGGATGAGGTGTGAAGAAGGGAGCAGGGATGGGATGGAATGAACAGGGATAGGGTGGGATGAGGTTAGGGTTGGGTGGGATGCAGTGGGAAGGAGGGGTGAAATGGGGTGGACTGGGGTTGCAGGAATGAATGAGGATGGAATGGGACGGGCAGGAATGACAAGGGGTGGGATGGGGTCAGAAGGGGTGGGATGGAACAGGCAGGGATGGGCTGACATGGGCAGAGGTGGGCACGCATGGCTGGGGTGGGCAGGGGTCAGCTGGCATGGACAGGGTGGGCAGGGGTCAGCTGGCATGGACAGGGTGGGCAGGGGTCAGCTGGCATGGACAGGGTGGGCAGGGGTCAGCTGGCATGGACAGAAGCTGCCTGCAGCCCCCTCCAGGCTGGCACAGGTGTAAGGGTGAGAGGCTCCCTGCTGGCACTGCCAGCCCCTGGGGACACCCGTGCCCTCTCTCGGGGACACTCTGAAGGTTTCCATCGCACCCAGTGCCCATGGCAGGTCCCCTCTGCCCCCACAGGAACCCCCACCGAGGACACCTGGCCTGGGATAACGTCCAACGAGGAGTTCAAGGCTTACAACTTCAGCCAGTACCGAGCCCAGCCACTGCTGAATCACGCCCCAAGGTACCCCAGGAGCAGGGGCAGACAAAGATTGGGGGGTTTGAGGGGTGTGAAGGGCAGCCCGGGCAGCCCAGGCTCGTTTTCTCCTCGTGGGGCTCGAGGCTGCAGTGCCACTCGTCCCTCCCTGTGGTCATTGCAGCCTCCTTGGTGCAACCTTGGTGCAGTTTTGGTTTTATTTCCCCTCTCTCCCAGGCTGGACTCGGAAGGTGTTGACCTGCTGACAAATCTGCTCCTGGTGAGTGGTGGGAAGGGAAGGGAAGGGAAGGGAAGGGAAGGGAAGGGAAGGGGCACTTGGAGCACGGCAGGGCCACAGGGTGGGTGGGTGGCACTGCTGGATGGGCAGAGGTGCCCAGATGTGTGATATAAACGTGCAGGGGTGCCCAGATGTGTGATATAAACGTGCAGGGGTGCCCAGATGTGTGATATAAACGTGCAGGGGTGCCCAGATGTGTGGTGTAGATGAGTTTTGATGGCTTTTCTCGGGGCTCTGTGCAGTACAGAGCCAAGGGCCGGATCTCAGCCGAGGCAGCCCTGCAGCACCCCTACTTCAGGAGCCTGGGCGAGCGCGTGCACCTCCTGCCTGACAGTAAGTGCTGCTGCCCCCCAAGGGCTCCAGAGGGACCCCCAGCACCCCCTGCCCCTCAGAGGAGCCTCTGCAGCAGGGTGGGCAGGAGCTGATGGCTGTGGGAGCGAGGAGGAGGAATAATAATAATAATAATAATAATAATAATAATAACAATAATAATAGCAATAATAATAATAAATATTTAAAATTAATTCTAATAACTAATAGCTAATAATAATAGTAATAGTCATTATTATACAATTAATGATAATAACTATAATAACAAATAATAACTAATAATAATATTAATAGTAATTGAAATAATAATACAATTAATGACAATAACTGTAATAACAAATAATAGCAATGATACTAATAATAATAATTTAAAACATTAACGATAATGTTAATAATAATAATTAAAAATAATAATTACAATAATAATGAATAATAATGAATAATAACTAATAATTTAAAATAATAATATTAATAGTAATAATAATACAATTAGTGATAATAACAAAAAATAACATAATGATAATGGTAATAATGATAATTATAATGATAATAATAATGATAATTATGGAAATAATAATGATGATGAAAATAATGACAATAATAATAATAATTTGGGTGGGCTGAGATGGGGTGGACGCTGACCGAGGAGCTCCGTGGAGGTGCCCCCCTGGGGCAGCACTGACCCCTCTCCCCCTGCCCCCTCTGCCCAGCTGCCTCCATCTTCTCCCTGAAGGAGATCCAGCTCCAGAAGGACCCCGGCCAGCGAGGCTCAGCCTTCCAGCACTCAGGTAGGGCTGCCCAGGGCCGGGATCTGCCGCAGCTCTGGGCAGGACAAACCCACACCTGCTCCCTGCCGCCTCTTCAGTCACAAATCACCCCGGGCATCTTTGTGGGCACATCTCCTGAGGCACAGCCGGCTCCTCTGGGAATGCCGCAGGCTCGGAATCCCCTGCGGAGCCCCCCGTGCCCCCCTGAGCCCTGTGTCTGTGTCCCCTCCGCAGCCCGCGGCAAGAACAGGAGGCAGAGCATATTTTAAATCGGGATCTGGCGTTGCCCTGGTTGCCATGGCGATGGAAGCGCTGAGAAAGGAGCGGCTCCCACCCGACCCTCGGCAGAATTCCCGGCTCCAGCAGGACCCAAACCCCGGGAGCTGCCCTCCTGTGGCCTTGTCCCCCCCTTGTCTTGGTGTTGTCCCCTCCGAGAGGAGCTCCAGGGAGGAGCCTGTGCTGCTCGGGAGGATCAGGGGGGGATTTGTGGGGTTTGGGGGCTCAGGGTTGGGGATTTGTGGGGTTTGGAGGTTCAGGGTGGGGATCTGGGGGATTTGGAGGTTCAGGGTGGGAATTTGGGGGGTTTGACCCAGGCAGGAGTTGCTGGAAATACCCCTTTGCTCAGACAAACTGCCCTGCACCCCCTGGTTTTTTGGGAGACCACGTTAGGACTGCTGGGCACAGCCTGGCCTGGCACTGGGAGCACCTGGAGCACATCTGGGGCACATCTGGGCACAGGAACCAGAGCAGCCCCCCAGTATTTCACCTCTGCCTGCAGAACCCCCTTTCCCCTCCCTGTTTTGGTACCCGAATCCAGCTGAGGGTGGAGCAGCCAGAATTCCCCCTTGCTTCCCTCAGCCTCTCCCAATCCCTGCTCCCAAACTGGGATATCCCTACTCCCGAACTGGGCTGTCCCTTTCCCAAACTGGGCTATCCCTGCTCCCGAACTGGGATATCCCTGCTCCCAAACTGGGCTGTCCCTGCTCCCAAACTGGGCTGTCCCTGCTCCCAAACTGGGATATCCCTGCTCCCAAACTGGGCTGTCCCTGCTCCCAAACTGGGATATCCCTGCTCCCAAACTGGGCTATCCCTGCTCCCAAACTGGGATATCCCTGCTCCCGAACTGCGCTGTCCCTGCTCCCCCCAGCCTCTCCCAGTCCCTTTCCCAAGCTGGGCTGTCCCGAGCCCGGGCAGGGCCTGGCACGGCTGCAGCTCCCCTGGCAGGCTGTGCCCAGCGGGACCGGCCCCTCCCAGGCACGGGGGGATGGAGCAGCCCCATTCCCATCCGCACAGAGCCCACGGAGCAGGAGGGATCCCGGGGGGCTCTCAGGGCTCATGTCCCCCTCTGTCGCAGCTCTGAGCCCCCCCTGTGGCACAGCCCGGTCCCACAGCGCTGCTCATGCCCGCCTGTGCCCGCAGGGAAGGGGGAGAGGTGCCAACCATCCCCCGGCTCGGCTGTGGGCACCAGAAACAGCCCCGGGGAGCAGCGCAGAGCCCCTCAAACCCCTCGGCCCCTCAAACCCCTCGGCCCCTCAAACCCCTCGGCCCCTCAAACCCCTCGGCCCCTCAAACCCCTCGGCCGTGCCCAGGCTGGGCAGGATCGGTGCTCACAGAGCTTTGCTGCTGCCCCAGGGGCGTTTTCCCTCTCCAGACACTTCGGGGATAAATCCATCCCTGCCGCAGCTCTGCCCCACAGCCTGGCAGGGTGTGAGCAGGGCACGGAGCCCCTCTGCTCTGCCATGCCCACGCCGTGGGCTTGGCTTTCCTGGGGGATCAGCTCCCTCTGGATGTGGCACGGACTCCTGGAGCTGGGACTGGCACCTGGGACCAGGACTGGCATCTGGCACTGGGACTGGAACCCGGGACTGGCACCGGGACTGGCACTTTTCTCCGGGCTCCAGCTCTCCGTGGGGCTGTTCCCTCCTGGAGCAGGGAGTGATTCCTCCAGCAATCCTTGGAAAATGCTCAGTGGGAGGGAAAATGAGGCGAGCCTGGAGCTCCCCGGGGCGGCTCCTGCCGGTGCCGGCGCCCGGAGCTCACCGGGAGCTCCCCGGTGCCACCAGAGCTCTGTCCCAGACGAGTCTCCAGACGTCTGCATTGTTTGAGGTTTGCCCATCCCTGCTCTGTTCCCTTCCCGGTATTTCCAGCCCGAATTGTTCCCTAATTGATTCCAGGGGATGGGGAAGAGCGGGGACAGCCCCCAGCCCCCAGTGACGCATTCGGGGCCGTGTTTCCCTTGTGTCTCCTGACTCCCTTTTTCCTTGTTCCCTCCTGATTCCCTCTTTTCCTTGTCTCTCCTGGTTCCTTCTTTTCCTGGTCCATCCTTATTCCCTTTTTTCTTGTTCCCTCCTGATTCCCTCTTTTCCTTGTCTCTCCTGGTTCCTTCTTTTCCTGGTCTCTCCTGATTCCCTTTTTTCCTGGTCTCTCCCAATTCCATTTTTTCCTGGTCCCTCCTGATTCCTTCTTTTCCTGGTCTCTCCCAATTCCATTTTTCCCTGGTCCCTCCTGGTTCCCTCTTTTCCTGGTTCCCTCTTTTCATGGTTCCCTCCTGCAGCTGGAGCCGGGCTGAGCTCTCCCAGTGCCATCTTTCCTCCCACAGAGGAATTTCCTTGGCACCAGAGCTGCCCTTCCCAGGGCTCCTGTCAGGATCTCAGCAGGCTCCTTCAGGTGCCTGGGGTTGAGGAATCCTGGTGTTCCCAGGGGAGCAGAGCCTGGATCAGGGCAGGAACCCTCCCTGCACCACCCAGGATACCCCTGACCTCTCTTTGCTCAGTTTTCCTGCTCGTTTTTCCCATTCCCACACCCCGAGAGTGGGAATGAACTTCCAGGGGCGCTGGTGCCCAGCTGAGCCATGCCACATTCCCACGGGGGATACTCAGATCCAGATCCAATATTCCTGCTGAAGGGCAAGGAAAACTGCTGGGAGAATCCCGCAGAGCCAGGACAGCATTCCCAGGATCAGGAAAAGCCCTGCAGGCTCCTGTTTATCCTTGCACAGCCTTTCCCTTTTTCCCTAGAAATCCCCCCAAAAGGGTGGGGGGTTAGGGTTAGGGTTTCCACCTCAGGAGAGAATTCCCAACATTTGGCAACACCCAAAACCCAGGAAAAACAGGAATTTCTTCCCTCCTAAACTTTTTTTATGGAGTGGAACATTCCTTTCTTTAGAATTCCAGCTTTCCCAAGGAATTTTTTGCCAGATTTTTTTGGATTTTTCCCCTCTGGAATCATGCCCAGAACCCCCCAACTTGACGTCATTCCACAGAATTCCAGAGGGTTCCAATCCCCCCTTTACTGATCAGCTCCCAGCAGCCCCAATTCCAGATAACCCCTTTTATCCCAGGCATTTCATGGATATTTGATTCCCACTTGGAGTGTAAATATTTGGTGCCACGCTCTGATCTCCACAGCTAGGGGGAAAAAAACAAACCCAAACCCAAAAACGGGGCTGGAGGCTGGCAGGGATTAAATCCTGGAATTAAATCCCACTTTTCCAACCTTGGCATAACATTCCAGCCCTTTTAGGCTGGATTTAGGGGGAGAGAAACCCCCTGGATGCCCCATCCATACAAACCCCATCCCTGGGCAGGATTTCCCAGGTTTTGGAGTGCCAATTGGAATTTTCATGAAAATGTTGGGAATTTCTGTGGTTTTCCAGCATTTTTTCCCCCTCATTTCATGGATTCTCCCATCCACCACGTCCTGGAGCAGCCGCTGCTCCTGGCAGGCCAAAGGAAGTCGTTGCTTTGTCTTGCACTCCTTTTTCTTGGAATTTTTTCCCTTTTTTCTTTTTTTTTCTTAGCAGAAAGCGGGAATTTTTGGCTGTGCCCTCAGGAAATGTGTATTCCTGGTATTCTTTTGTCTGGCCAGCTGATGGTTTGGTGAAGGAATAGAATTAAATCAATGTGCAGAGCGAGGTCAGGCTTTGGGACAACGAAAACAACAACAACACTTGGGGGCAGAGCAGTTAATTCCATCCCATCCCTCCATTCCCACATGGATCCTCCTTTCCTGGCCCAACAGATCCATGTGGAGAAGTCACACAACAAAATTCCTTTGGGTTTTGGAGATTCAGGACAAAACAAATGGGTTTTTTTTTTCCCTTCTTCCTTAAACACAAGATGAAAAAAAATGGAATTAAGGAGCATTTTCCCCGAGGTTTTCCAATATTTTGTTTGGGTTTTTCCACCTGATTTCCAGCTGTGCTGTACATCTGGACACTCAAATGGTGTAAAATTGGATTTTGGATCCCTGCGAGCCGTGTCTGAGCAGAGATAATAAAAAATTCCACGTTTCCTCATTGCCTTCCTCCACCCTCAGCATCCTCCAGCAGGAGAAATCGATGGAAGGGGCCAGGATGGATCCCCAAACTGTGAATGTTCTCTGGGGCGATTCATTGGCAGAAAACTGAGAATAAATAAATGTATTTAACTAGTGCTGTACAAAAAAAAAAAATGTTTGTTTTAAAATAAATGATTTTAAGGATTTATTCCGAAAGAAGTAATGATTTTTATATATGTATAGAGAGAGAGGGAGGGAGAGAGAGAGAAAGTTTTTCTGGAATAAATGGAAAGGTACGAAAAATAAATAATGATAATAAAGGATTTTATCCATCTGTCAGTCTCTTGGCTATATTTTATAAGAATATTTCAAATTTTCTATTTCAGAAAAACAGAAATAGAATAGAAAAATATTTCTATTTTTCTTTTTCAGATGAAAAATATTTTTCTTTTTATATTTAAGATTTTTATAAGATTTCTATTTTTTTAAAGATTTTTTAATAAGATTTCTATTTTTCTTTTTTTCAGATGATTTTGTGCTTCTTTTTTCTCTCCTTACACAGAAATAAACAAAAAAAAAGAACTAAATAGCATTTTCCCGAGGTTTTCCAATGTTTTGGTTGGCTTTTTCCATCTGATCTGTTGGATTGTCCTAAGGAAAATTCATGGAGTATGGGATGGGTTTGTAAAAGATACAATTTTTCCTGGTTTTTTTTATTTTGACAGGAGAAGGATGTGGGGTTTTTTGGGGTCGAAGGAGGGTGGGCAGTGGAGGATGGGTTCCAGGAAAAGCAGCTGGCCCATCCCGGGCCCCCTCCAGCCCCTCTCCCTGCGGGATTCTGAGCACAAAAGGATTGTTCTTGCAGGGGTCCCCGTGGCAGGAGGAGTGATGCATCTGGCTCCGTGTTCTCAGGAGGCTAATTTATTGTTTTATATTAAAGAATGCTGTGCTAAACTCTGCTAAAGAATACAGAAAGGATGCAGACAAATCGTAAAAGATTATAAAAGATTTTTTAAAGATAATAATGAAAAAATTAATAAATAATAATAATTATATATTAAATAACAAACAATATAATACTATATTATAATACATTATATAATAAATTAATATACTATATTAATATACTATATGATGTTATATGCTATAATCTAGAAACATTGTTATTATTACTATTGCTGATAATAATAATAATAGTAATAATAATAATAAT